AGTTTTAACATTTGGTTTCGGTAGTTTCTTTCTTGTTTTTTTTTTTTTAATAAAGTTTAAGAAAAAGAATAGGTTGCGTTATTACAAAGTTACGATATGTCATACACCCTAACATAATTAATGGTTTATTGTGGTGTTTATAGATGTAATCCTATGAATATTAATTCACTAGTAGAAATTAAGCCTAAAACAATTTAGGTAGATGCAGTTAAATATTATCTATTTAGTTAATTCTAGTAGACTATAAAACGCAGTTTCGATTTTTAGTGTAGCCTCTAGTGAGGAGTATGCTTCTCATAAATAGAAAATAAAAAGAGAGAATAATCCTCTTAATAAGTTTGTTAAGTATTTAAAGAAAACAATATGAAATATAATTTTTTATTTAATACTTTTTATTTTAAGCAATTAGAGGATACAATAGGATTTATTATAAGGATATAAAACATTATTCAATAAAGGTACCACTGGGTTAAGCGGTAAGTGAGGATCTTAGGCACACATAGAATAGATGTCATGGTTGATTTTGAATAAGTTGAATTTGTTGGGTCTACTAGCTAGCAAGTAATTCTAGGGTTTTAGAGCCTGTTTGGATCATTTTTTTAAATTAAAAGTTACTTTTAAGTTAAAATTAAAAAAAATAATAAAAAGTTAAAAGTTGTTTGATTATTATATAAATTTTTTAACTTAAAAGCACATATTTTAAGAAAAGACTCTCTCTCTCTTTCTACTTCTATGCCTCTTCATTAAAAAAAACACATAATTCAAGAAAAAACTGATAAGAGTTTAAAAAAAAAAATACTCCTCCTAGGAGCTTTTGACTTTTGATTTTTTTTTCATTATAAAAAAAAAAGAATTTTTCCTTATAACAATTTTTTTAAAATTTTATTTGACCTAATTTTTACTTATAAGAAAAAAAAATAAAAAAATAAAAAAGATAATGGCACTTAATGGCTTTGGAGAGACGCTACAGGAAGTTAGTTCAAATCTCGAGCTACGAGGAAATAGTAGAGTAGCTATCTTTCTTTCCTTAGGCTCCGCAGTGAGGATTGAGGGGCAGGTTACGGCTTGGCTTATTAGGTGATTTGTTTTTGAATATTGCGTCTTAGTTTGATATGTGTATAATGTCGGATAAAATAATTATCTTATGTTGTATATTTATGAAATTTTGTTCTTATTTTTTCTTTTAAATTATGAATCCCATAATTTTATTTTAAGATATTTATTTTATATGACATAAGATTAATAATTCCATAAAATTAAATAAAGGAAGAATCTATTACCAAAAAAAAAAAAATTAAAATAAAGGAAGAATCGAACAAAAAAAGGAAAAGGCAATTAAAGCCAGATTCAAAAAAGAAGATTTTCTCTCATGGTATTCTTAAAAGAAAATCCTGAACTAATGTTGAGTTGTATCACTTTTCTACATGGAGAAATGATCCGTTTACAAATTTGTTTTATAAATTACACTAAGTATGACTGGTCATATATTTTTGATTGAAGTATGGCCAATTATACTTAGTGTAATTTGTAAAAAATTATAAATAAAATTTTTGTAAATATAACATTTTCCTTCTATACATGATGTATCATGTATGCAGTATCATGTATGCCTGCAACTGGTTCTTATTCCCTACAAGCTAGCCACTTGTTTTGTTTAAGGGTGTATTGATATTAGAGAAAAGTGTGTGTCATTTTAAAAACGTAAAGTTGTGTCATTTTAAAAGAGAGAAAGAGATAGACAAAAGAGGAGAGAGTTGACAAAAAAATAAAATAAAAGTGTGGGTGTCACCTCTTTGTGAGAATAAAAAGATGTAAGTTGTGTCATTTAAAAGGATAAACACTCTTTCTTTGATATTATTGAAGTAAATAATTCCCTTATATGATTTTTTAGATATATTAAACTCATTACATTAGTTTTTTTTTCAGTTTATAAAGTTAGGATAATAAATTACCATCAGTTTAAGCCACTAGTATTGATTTAGTGGTGAGAGATTAGGATATATTCTATTAAATTATTTGTTCAATTCTCACTTGCATCCAAAAAAAAATTACTATCAATTTTATAAATTTATATAAGATAAATATTTTCATAGAGTATATATAATCTACCTATTTACTCAATATTCTTTCATAGATAATACTATTACTAAATTAGTTTACGCATTAAGTGATTGAAACTGCAGCCATACATGAGAGGTGGGAATACAACTACAACTAATTTTCTCTTTCGAGGACAAAAATGCATTTCACTCGCAATTTAATCCTTAATTTAAATTATATTACAATTTAGTCCTTAAATTATTTAAATTTACTTTAGGATCGATGTTTCTTTTTCTATGTCTGGTATAGAGATTAACATGAAACGAATTCAAGACCGAATCGAAACGCTATTTAAATCCAAAAATGTACGCGTTAAATTTTTAAAGACCAAAATATAATTATACTCTGACCATTCAATCTGTGTACTTTTTATAAAATATTCTGTTAAACTTTCAATGTTAATAATACTCATATCTATGCTTTTTGTTAATATTTTCATTATAATTAAAATATAATTATTATTTTATCACATCTCCTACTTTAAATTAACGGTGTGGGAGTCAAAATTAAGAAACAAAATTTATGCAGTAAAAAATTATTTAAACCGGTTAGCCGATGTAAAAATTTTATCGGTAGGATTTATAGACTCGATTACTGTTTTTAGAACACAAAAATTCGTTTGGTAAGACTTATTTTATAAAAATAAAAATAAAAATTGTAATTATTTTTTATTTTTAGAATCAAATTTAAAAAATATGTCTGATTTATTTTAGTTTTTTATTTTAGTTTTTAACTTTCAAAATAATAAAGGGTAAAGAATTTCTCTGGTCAATAAAGATAAGTTATCACCGGTGAGCCCAAAACAATGTCGTTTTGGAAGGAAAATCAAGGTGTTTTTGTAATTTTAATATATTGCAAGGTTATATTAGTCTTTGTCATTATAATTTTTTAATCTTATAATCCCAAATGACGTCGTTTTGAACTCTGGAGATAACTTTATCTTCAGTGACTGACTGGAGAAATACTTCTTCCAATAAAAAAACACAGAAAATAACTTTATGTTTCTATAAATATTCTATAAAACGGTTTTAAAAACAAAAAAACCAAAATACAATTAAACAAGGGTAGGATTTCTTCAGTCAATGGAGATAAGTTATCTCCAGTGAGTCTAAAATGATGTCATTTTGTAACGAAAATCAATGTATTTTTGTAATTATAATATATTGCAGGATTATATTAGTCTTTATTATTATAATTTTTTAATCTTATAACTCTAAAAAAACATCATTTTGAGCTCATTGAAGATAACTTTATCTCGGGTGACTAGAAAAATACTTTTCCCATCAAACAAACTCATAATTTCTCCCAAAAATTTTCATAAAGATCGGGAGATATGCTCTGAAGCTAGTGGTATACGAGCATCTATAACCCACCTAAAAATTTATATAAATTTTTTTTTATTTAAACCTTGTTTGGCTTTAAATCTTTGAAAGTTCCATATTCCACTTCTGCCTAAACCACACTGTAAGGGACTCTTTCTTTTCTACCCTTTCTGATATTAGGTCTCAAGCCACCCCTTACCTCTTGTTTCGTCATCATCACTAACTACACGCTCTCCACTAGTTTAATTTCAATCTAGCTTATTGGGCCCAGCAAGTTTGAGATTTTTTTCTTAATTCCAACAATGTTTATCCATAAAATAAAGTGATTTTTTGTTTGGATTATGTCTATACAAGTTATGTTTTGCGGATAAGTTTATGGGATAAATAAGAATTATTTTGTAGGTAAAAAATTAGTGTCATGCAATCACTACAAACAAGATAAAATCATTGAATAGAGTGTTTCTTCAATTTTTTTATTATTATTTAACTTGTCGTTCCTTTTGTAGGAAAACAAAATTGATTCTGTTACCTGACGAATCGAATGCTCTAAGTTTATATAATTGAAAAACTTTACTCCATATAAACAAATCCTATCTTAATTACTTCTAATGAAGCAAAAACAAATTAAAAACAAAAAAAACTTGGGGTTGTGTGTTATATGATTTTGCTAAAAGTTTCTCGCCCAACGGCATACTCAATTGACCATAGACAAACTATTATGTGTATACCAGTAATTATGTATTCCAAGGGGTACTTAAACTTGGGTTAAGGAAGGGAAAAGAAAAAAAGTTTTGGTTCGATTCTCATATGTTATTTTTAGGATAAGTTTAAATATTTTCATCCCTGACTAATTTTGCATTTCGAATTAGTTCTATAGTTAGCTCAAAAAATCTAAAGTTGTAGAAATACTAAAAGGAATCAATTCATCTTAAAAAGATAATTATTATTGAGTTAAGTTAAAAAAAAAAAAAAAAAAAGCATAAGAGAAAAAAAAAATGAAATGATTGAAATGACAATAAGGAAGTAATAAGATAACACGGGGGTTGTGTGCAAAGACTGACACAAAGAGGTCCCGCGGAGTTGGTTGAAACAAGCACATTTCCCTTAACCCACTTTTCCACTTGAACTCTAACCCCAATTTGGGGGCATAAGTAGAAAGGACGGCATGGCGTATCTCTCCCCTTCCTATTTTATCTATTTGTCTCTTTCTCTCAAAATAATCCCTATTTATTAACATGCCTAGCCCAATGCCTTTCTCATGCACTTGTCCTCTTCACCTCCCAACATCCACTGACACATTCTCTCGTCCAGTTTTTTTTTTTTTTTTTTTTTCATGGCTACCCTTTTCTCTCTGTCCTCCATCTGAGAAAGAAAATAAGGAAAAACAACATAACCCATTTTTTTTTCTCCCTCTCTTAAATATATATTCCTTACAGGTAGCTCCCATTCCTAGCTCTTTCAGAGGTAACTTCTCTGACAAACCCACTTCCTATTCGTCCATAGCTTCCTACCTAGCTCTAGGTAGCACTACCAACATAGTATTTCTGACACACACACTCACTCACCCCTTACTTGACAATGTCTAGCAGATCATCTCGTTCGAGACAATCCAGTGTTTCCACCACTGAGATCACTGATGCTCAAATCACCGATCTCATCTCAAAGTTACAACAACTTATCCCTGAGCTACGTGCAAGGCGTTCCAACAAGGTATTCAATTTGCTCCTTTCCTATCTCTTTCAGCATTCTCTCTCTCTCTCTCTCAAAACAAACACAAAACAAAGTCACATGCACATGACACAAGCACACTCAGTTTCTGTGGCTTTGGTTGGTTTTGCTAGATAAGTCACACTCATGCCCTCCCTTAAATATTTACCCACAATTTGTGAGGCTGTGGCACTCAGTATATATAACAACAACCATTAATTTTATTTAATTTTTTTCTTTTTTTGTTCTTGTAGGTTTCAGCTGCTAAGGTTTTGCATGAGACTTGCAACTACATCAAAAGCTTGCACAGAGAGGTTGATGATTTAAGTGAACGATTATCACAACTTTTGGCCACCACAGATTCCAACAGTGCTCAAGCAGACATTATTAGGAGCTTACTTATGTAACACTCTAATTAATTATAGAGCATTTTATGTTTCTTGTGCAGCATGTCCACGTGTCTCCCTAGCTAGCACGTTATTATCATCCATCTTTACACTTTTAGTTCGTTTTTATCAGACACTTTTGTAGTGACTATCATCAATTTTTATCTCTATAAACAAAATGAACTTCATCTTCATGAGTTCCCTTTAGTCCCGATATTATATATCGGAAAATGTACTTCTCCTGTCAATGCAGAAATTTATTTTTGTAGCAACAAAAAAAAATAGATTATAACTTTTTTAAAAAAAAAATATGTGAATCTCACTTTTTCTGTGTCTAGTGTATTAGAAAAAGTGATAATAGCAGGAAAAAAAAACCTATTATGATTATATGAATATATATATGGCATGTATATATAGTATAAAATTAATTATTTTCAATTTTGGAGGCTGCAACATGCTTTTGTTTTAAATTAGCAATCTATCTTATAAGAGAAACTCAGCGGTTTTGCGTGGACCCATTAAAGGGTCAAATTTGAACCTGACCTATTACATGTGACATTGCCCCACCCTATTTTCTGTTATTTGTTCCTGTCAACCCCGTGATATATACGTTGGACCACTGTATGCAATGACTAACTCATTATGAACCTTTACCAGAGTGCATTTTTTATATCTATCTCTGTAGTTACATATGCACCGTATGTATACGGATAATGATAATATCTATATATATATATATATATATATATATATATATATATATATTGATTGTTTAATTTTTTTTTAAAAAATGTAATATCTTGACTGCTCTTTGTAGAATTATGTTTAACAAAAAAAAAAAAAAATTTTTGAAAATATTCCAATTGGTTCATTGCTTCGCAACTAATCCGATTTGGGGCGAGTCCATGATTAAGACTTTAAACCAATGTTATTAAAATCGGTCCGGTCATTGACCCGGTCGAGGTACTGGGTCACTGGTTCAACCGCATGAACCGATAATTACATGCAATTTTTATAATTTATATTAAAAAATTATAAATATACTTAGATATCTAAAAAAATGATAAAAATTTCAAATATTTTAATATAAAAAATAATAAATCACATATTATTATCCAATAAAAGATCAAACAAAAATATAATGATCGTGATACGGGGCTTTAGGTTCAGAAAACTATATCTCTAACAATAAATCAAATCAAATTTTTTTGCATAGTGCATAATTGAGATAATATTAGTGTTGTAGGTTCATAACTTATATAAGTCAATAAGCAAAAATATATTCAAATATGTCAATTATGATTTTTTTTTATTATAAAAAATTGGATTTATTTTTTAGACCGGGTCGGGTCACCGCTTAACCGACCGGGTCACCGGTTTTCATGAAAACCGGCCGGGTCGCACCGGTTCTGATGTATGATCAGTCCGTTGCTTCAACCAGACCGGTTATATGACCGGTTTACCGGTTCCCGGGTCGGCCCGGGTTTCTTAATACTGCTTTAAACCCTTCCCAAAGATGATACTGAGGAGAAAAGAATATTATTTTTTTGGAAATATTTCAATCGGTTCATTGTTTCGCAACTAATCCGATTCGGGATGGGTCTAGGATTAAGGCTTTAAATTCCTCTCAAAGGTGGTACTGGAGAGTGGAGAGATTCGAACACATGCTCTCATCCCTATCTGCTTAGCTCCCATGCGCCAACTGAGCTACCACCATTTGGTGTGAGAAAAAAATATAATTTTGAGATATCATTGTCAACATTTAACTATGGGACGGTTTCTCGTGCATCAGTAGTATATTGCAATTACGACTTTGAATAAAGTTATTATTTTCTAAAAATAATTACAATTATGACTTTGCATCAGTAGTATATTGCAATTTTTTTGAAAATAATTATTATTTTCTAAAAATATTATAATTTTGAGATATCATTGTCAACATTTAACTATGGGACGGTTTCTCCATCCCTTTAAAGGCCATAAATCGTTAATCCCAAACTTCAATGAATCAGAATTTTTCTCATTGCCCAATTGTCACAATCTTTCGGAACCCAACTTCTTCTTCTTCCTTCTTCTTTTTATTTTTATTTATTTATTTTGTGATCAAGATCCTTACGGTTCATTTTTAAACTGCAGGAATTTCAATTTAAATTCGGTGAAATAATTAAAAAAATATGGTTAAGTTTTTAAATATTGAGATATGAAAAACAAATTCTTGCATTTAATTTTATAACTCGATCCAGAGTATCCAATCCTTTATTTTGGTTTTTTTTTTTGGGCTTTTACCTCTTGTGCAGGAAGGCATATTGACGAGAGTCTATAGGGGCACCTGAAAACTGAGCAAAGTCCTAAACTAGTGAAATTGCTAATATATTGTCATAGTATCTACATTTGTCCAATAAAAATATAATATTTGTATTGATATGTTTTCTGATGGGAGAAAAAAAATTATGCCTATGTATTACCGGGAATACATAGTCTTCAATTTTATTTTAAATGGGAGTTGTACTCACCAATGCGATGGTACCACCACTAAATGATGATAGCTTAGTTGGCGTATGAGAGCTGAGCAGATGGGGTGAGAGCATATGTTTGATCCTCCTTAGTACCATCTTTGGGAGGAGGGGTTTAAAACTTTAATTCCGAATGCGCCTCAAATCCGGATTAGTCCATAGAGAACCTATGGGATTACCGGAGGGTTAATCTCTAAAAAAAAATAAAAAAATGTGATGGTAGTACCAAATATGTTCTCCTAGGCTAGGTACCTTGCAACGAAGACAACTCTTATTTATATATGGCTGGAAAATTATATTGAGAGACTGTTGGCTTATTCAAGTGTGATGAGTTCCACATCTGTTGGGTAATGGGTTAAGTGAAGAGTATATAAGTGGAAAAACTCATGAACCCAAAGCCTTAAGGGTTTTGGTTAAGATATGATGTTACACCCACTTGATATGGTGGTGTGGCCTTAGCCCATTGGTGGTGGTCCCCCGCCATGGGCTCCTGCGAAACCCGCCTAACAATGGTATAAAGAGCCTTTTATCTCTTGTTAATTTCTCTTAGTTGTATTTTACATTCACTTCTTTTTTTCTCTTTTTTCTTGCAAGAAAATGACTACTGCAAAAGTTGAAGTGGAGAAATTTGATGGGAAAAGAGATTTTAACATATGGAGGAAAAATATGAGAGTTGTTCTTGTGCATTAGAAGTGCGCAAAAGCTCTTGAAGGGAAAAAAGCGCTTTCAGGTTCTTTATCTCTCGATGAGAAAAATGATCTTTTAGAAACTGCCTTTAGTTTGTTAATTTTGGATTTATCTAATAGTGTATTGTGGCAAGTTGATGATGAAACTACTACTGCTGGACTATGGCTGAAATTAGAGTATCTTTTTATACTAGGTCACTTTCTAACAAGATTTACTTGAAAGAGAAATTGTTTAGTAAACCTCTAGATGAAAATTTAGATGAGTTTAAGAGACTCACTATTAATTTGTCTAATATTGATAAAAATATTTTTGATGAAAATAATCAAGCCATTATTCTTCTTAATGCATTATCCAAATCCTTGAAGGATGTGAAATCCGCCATCAAGTATGGCAGGGAGTCTTTGACTTTAGAGGATGTTTTGGCAGCCCTTAGATCTAAGGAGCTTGAGATGAATGCAACAAAGAAAGCCCCGGTTGAGGGGATGCATGCTAAAGAAAAATTTAATAAAAAAGGGGCAGAACAAAAATAAGTGGAATGAGAGTAAAAATAAGTGGAATAATAATAAAATTTGTAATAACAATGAGAGTAAAAAAAAAAAGTTAGAGAAAGGTAAACTTGTGTGTTGGATATGCCACAAGGAAGGACATAACAAGAGGAATTGCCCTGACCTAAGTAAACCTCAAGTTGGTAATAACTATAAAAGTGGTAACACTAGACATAATAGTCATAATTATAGAAAGAGGGTTGATTATGCTAATTTGTTGACTAATTTTGAGTTGTTAGTGTTGTCAAATGCTTCTTATGAGAAAGAATGGGTTACAGACTCCAAATATACACTCCATATGACACCCAAGAAGGAGTGGCTTGTAAATTTCAAGTCAATTAATGGTGGTAAGGTCTTAATGGGCAATGACCAGACCTGTCAAGTTACAGGTATTAGTATGGTTCAATTTAAAATGAGAGATGGGACATTGAAGGTGCTTAGGGATGTGAGGTTGGTCCCTAACTTGAGAATGAATCTTGTATCCTTAGGAATGATGGATTCAAATGGTTACAATTTCAAATCTGAAAGGGTGACTCTTAAAGTGGTCCAGGGTTCTTTAGTACCTTTTAGACAATGGTCTATACATCTTAGATGGAGAGGCTGTGTGGTATGAGTCTTATATAGCTTCAAGGAAGCATGATGAGGCCATCATTTGGCATAAAAAGTTAGAACATGTTAGTAACCAAGGGTTACAAGAGCTGTATAAGCAAGGGATTTGGGAAATTAAGAGCTTTAAGCCTCTTGATTTCTGTGAGAATTGAATTTTAAAAAAGTCTCACAAGTTGGGCTTTCAAAAGGGTAAGGACATAACTCAAGGGGTGTTTGATTATATCCATTCAGATTTATAGGGTTCTCCCAATATCCCTAGCTCTTTGTTTGGCTGCCACAATTTCCTCTCAATAATAGACTCTTATTCTAGAAGAGTGTGGCCATTTTTCTTAAAACAAAAGGATGAAGCATTTGATTATTTTAAGGAATGGAAAGTGCAAGTTAAAACTGAGAAGGGAAGAAGGGTAAAAGTGCTTAGGACAGATAATAGGCTTGAATTTTGTAATAATCAATTTTCATATTCCTGTAAACAACATGGAATTGTTAGGCATAAGACATGTTTTGAAACTCCTCAGCAAAATGACATCACTGAGAGAATGAATAGAATCATATTAAATAAGGTTAGACGTATGTTAACATAATTTGGCCTAAGCAAAAGGTTTTGGACAGAAGCTGTTACTACTGCCTATCATGTGATTAATAGATGTCCATCTTCTGCCATTGGGTTTAAAACACCAATAGAATTGTGGAAAAATGAACCACCTAAGCTAAACTACATGAAGGCTTTTAGTTGCATGGCATATGT